ATTTCCATTTCAACTAAGGGTAGTGACATTGGCACGAATTTAAGCTATCCAAGAGGCAGCAGCGCATCAAGAAATTGGATGATACTATCCCAACCGACATACTTGTGTAATCTATTTCACAACTTTGTTGAGTAAAGAAATCGAATATTATCATTAACTAAACCTTTCAAATAAAAAAAGGAATGGAATTTTGCTTGCTTTGTAAACTAAAAATCTCATGTTCAGAATCTGCAAACAACCTTTCTTGTGACAAGAGGAAACTAAAAGCTGCGGTTAACTTTAATTTATGCCCCTCTTCTATTAGATAAGCATGTTGGAAAATAATGAACCAAGTCGATTTACGAAAATAATATATATATATATATATATATATATATATATACTCACAGCAGAGAGAACATCTATGCTATACAATTCAATAAGCCTATAAAAGACCCTTGTATAAATAGTGGTGCAAATCTACTTCCCAAATCATTGTGGGACAAAATCTCATCTCTTTCCCTTCATTTTTCAAACTCGATCAATGGGTCTACTTTGAGAATCAATATATCATTCACCCATTATCCGTTTTGAGTGTACAATATATCAATCTCTTTGTCTCACTACGAAGAACCCGAATCCACTTTGACAAGACCCAAATCAGAAGTGGACCCCACTGATAATTGTACCACAAAATAGCGTATTAAAATGCAATTTTTCCAACAGATTAAAGCATTTGCTTATTGAAGTTTTGATTATCAACATAAAGGCAATTAACTAAATTTTTTGTAGAAGTCATAGTTGGAAAAATGTCCAATTTAGCATCTAAGGGTCTTAAGCTCAGTGGTAGAGCATTTGAATGCAGATCAAGAAGTCACCGGTTCAAACTCGGTAGGGCCCTTATGTTGTTACTAATATTAATTTTATTTATTTATTTTTTAATTTTAAATCATAAAAACACTGCACTCATTGGCCCAATGAATAAGTTCTACAAACGTTTAAAGATATTAATGTTTAAATTTAATTGCAAAAGCAATGGAATTTGTGGCCCAATGGATAAGGCGCTGGTCTATGAAATCAGAGATTTCGGGTTCGATTTCCAGCGGAGTTGTAATTTAAACATTTCTTGCACCACATCTTTGTAAGCTAAGAATTCATAAGAAATTCAAGTATTTATTTGTTTTAAAATTCAGAAGTAAGCATCAAATCAACATTACTACATTAAAATACTAACACACAATGTGACAAAAATGATGATTTTTTTTTTTTCATTAGGAATGGGATGTTGATAAAAGCAAACTATTTTTATCTTAGACAAAATCTGGAGTGGTTAATAAAAGCAAATTATACTAATCTTAGACAAAATCTGGAGGTGGTTAACCTGTTTGTGGCTGGAATATGTAAGTTTTGGGTGGGTAGTCAGCATTTGGCAGAGCAAGACTTTTTTGCAAATATCTTATTGAACTTCTTAGCTATTGTCCAAATCCAAATGTCTGGTTTAGCATGCACCATAAACCAACTTTTCTGAAAATAGACCTCTTCTAAATCAACATCTCAGGCCATAGTAGTTCACGAATCATTATTTGAAAAATACCTTTCTAAATATCATCTCTTATGCTAACTTTTGCCCATTTTCTTGTAGATATCGCTACTGAAGCACACAACATTGTTGCAGAAAGCTGAGTGAAATTCGTCAGATTGAGCAGTGAGGTGTTGTACTTATTCTCTTATAATATCTCTGCCATTAGCATTAGCGGTGTTGTACTTGTTCCATGGCTCAGATTCTCATATCTGAAAATCGGATTGTCTTTCTTGTCTATCAGGATAGAAACAACTTTTTCCGCCATCCTATTTCTACTTCTCCTTTTACTTGTATCTATCTTCATTTCCTTTTCAACTAAGGGTAGTGACATTGGCACGAATTTAAGCCATCCAAGAGGCAGCAGCGCATCAAGAAATTGGATGGTACTATCCCAACCGACATACTTGTGTAATCTATTTCACAACTTTGTTGAGTAAAGAAATCCAATATTATCATTAACTAAGCCTTTCAAATAAAAAAAAGGAATGGAATTTTGCTTGCTTTGTAAACTAAAAATCTCATGTTCCTAATCAGCAAACAACCTTTCTTGCGACAAGAGGAAACTAAAAGCTGTGGTTAACTTTAATTTATGCCCCTGTTCTATTAGACAAGCATGTTGGAAAACTGATAATTTATGCCCCTGTTCTATTAGACAAGCATGTTGGAAAACTAATGAACCAAGTCGATTTACGAAAATAATATTATATATATACTCACAGGAGAGAGAACATCTATGCTATACAATTCAATAAGCTAATAAAAGACCCTTGTATAAATTGTGGTGCAAATCTACTTCCCAAATCAATGTGGGACAAAATCTCATCTTTTTCCCTTCATTTTTCCAACTCGATCAATGGGTCTACTTTGAGAATCAATATATCATTCACCCATTATCCGGTTTGAGTGTACAATATATCAATCTCTTCGTCTCACTACGAAGAACCCGAATCCACTTTGACAAGACCCAAATCGGAAGTGGACCCCACTGAAAATTGTACAACAAAATAGCCACATAAAATGCAATTTTTCCAACAGATTAAAGCATTTGCTTATTGAAGTTTTGATTATCAACATAAATGAAATTAACTACATTTTTTGTAGAAGTCATAGTTGGAAAAATGTCCAATTTAGCATCTAAGGGTCTTTAGCTCAGTGTTAGAGCATTTGACTGCAGATCAAGAGGTCACCGGTTCAAACCCGGTAGGGCCCTTATGTTGTTCCTAATATTAATTTTATTTATTTATTTTTTAATTTTAAATCATAAAAACACAGCACTCCTTGGCCCAATGAATAAACTCTACAAACGTTTAAAGATATTAATGTTTAAATTTAATTGCAAAAGCATTGGACTTCGTGGCCCAATGGATAAGGCGATGGTCCATGATACCAAAGATTCTGGGTTCGATTTCCAGCGGAGTTGTAATTTAAACATTTCTTTCACCACATCCTTGTAAGCCAAGAATTCATAAAATATTCAAGTATTTATTTGTTGTAAAATTCAGAAGTAAAGCATCAAATCAACATTACTACATTAAAATACTCACACACAATGTGACAAAAATGATGATTTTTTTTTTTCCTTTAGGAATGGGATGTTGATCAAAGCAAACTATTTTAATCTTGGACAAAATCTGGAGTGGTTAATAAAAGCAAATTATACTAATCTTAGACAAAATCTGGACGTGGTTAACCTGTTTGTGGCTGGAATATGTAAGTTCTGGGTGGGTAGTCAGCATTTGGCAGAGCAAGACTTTTTTGCAAATATCTTATTGAACTTCTTAACTATTGTCCAAATCCAAATGTCTGGTTTAGCATGCACCATAAACCAACTTTTCTAAAAATAGACCTCTTCTAAATCAGCATCTCAGGCCATAGTTGTTCACCCATCAATGTTTAAAAAATACCTTTCTAAATATCATCTCTTATGCTAACTTTTGCCCATTTTCTTGTAGATATCGCTACTGAAGCACACAGCATTGTTGTAGAAAGCTTAGTGAAATTCATCAGATTGAGTAGTGAGGTGTTGTACTTGTTCTCTTATAATATCTCTGCCATTAGCATTAGCGGTGTTGTATTTGTTCCAGGGCTCAGATTCTCATCTCTGAAAATCGGATAGTCTTTCTTGTCTATCAGGATAGATACAACTTTTTCCGCCATCCTATTTCTAATTCTCCTTTTACTTGTATCTATCTTCATTTCCTTTTCAACTAAGGGTAGTGACATTGGCACGAATTTAAGCAATCAAAGAGGCAGCAGCGCATCACAAAATTGGATGATACTATCCCAACCGACATACTTGTGTAATCTATTTCACAACTTTGTTGAGTAAATAAATCCAATATTATCATTAACTAAACCTTTCAAATAAAAAAAAGGAATGGAATTTTGCTTGCTTTGTAAACTAAAAATCTCATGTTCCGAATCTGCAAACAACCTTTCTTGTGAAAAGAGGAAACTAAAAGCTGCGGTTAACTGTTTTTGTGCCCCACTTCTATTAGACAAGCATGTTAGAAAATAATGAACCAAGTCGATTTACGAAAATAATATAATATAATATAATATATATATATATATATATATATATATATATATATATATATATATATATATACTCACAAGATAGAGAACATCTATGCTATACAATTCAATAAGCCTATAAAAGACCCTTGTATAAATAGTGGTGCAAATATACTTCCCAAATCAATGTGGGATAAAATCTCATCTTTTTCCCTTCATTTTTCCAACTCGATCAATGGGTTTACTTTGAGAATCAATATATCATTCACCCACTATCCGTTTTGAGTGTTCAATATATCAATCTCTTCGTCTCACTACGAAGAACCCGAATCCACTTTGAGAAGACCCAAATCAAAAGTGGACCCCACTGATAATTGTACCACAAAATAGCCTATTAAAATGCAATTTTTCCAACAGATTAAAGCATTTGCTTATTGAAGTTTTGATTATCAACATAAAGGCAATTAACTAAATTTTTTGTAGAAGTCATAGTTGGAAAAATGTCCAATTTAACATCTAAGGGTCTTTAGCTCAGTGGTAGAGCATTTGACTACAGATCAAGTGGTCACTGGTTTAAACTCGCTAAGGCCTTTATGTTTTTCCTAATATTAATTTTATTTATTTATTTTTTATTTTAAATCATAAAAACACAGCACTCATTGGCCCAATGAATAAGTTCTACAAACGTTTAAAGATATTAATATTTAAATTTAATTACAAAAGCATTGGAATTTGTGGCCCAATGGATATGGCGCTGGTATACAAAACTAGAGATTCTGGGTTCTATTTTAAACGGAATTGTAATTTAAACATTTCTTTCACCACATCTTTGTAAGCCAAGAATTCATAAAAAATTCAAGTATTTATTTGTTTTTAAATTCAGAAGTAAAACATCAAATCAACATTACTACATTAAAATACTCACACACAATCTGACAAAAATGATGATTTTTTTTTTCTTTAGGAATGGATGTTGATAAAAGCAAACTATTTTAATCTTAGACAAAATCTGGAGTGGTTAATAAATGAAAATTATACTAATCTTAGACAAAATCTGGAGGTGGTTAACCTGTTTGTGGCTGGAATATGTAAGTTCTGGGTGGGTAGTCAGCATTTGGCAGAGCAAGACTTTTTTGCAAATATCTTATTGAACTTCTTAGCTATTGTCCAAATCCAAATGTCTGGTTTAGCATGCACCATAAACCAACTTTTCTAAACATAGACCTCTTCTAAATCAACATCTCAAGCTATAGTAGTTCACGAATCATTATTTGAAAAATACCTTTCTAAATATCATCTCTTATGTTAACTTTTGCCCATTTTCTTGTAGATATCGCTTCTGAAGCACACAACATTGTTACTGAAAGCTGAGTGAAATTCGTCAGATTCAGCAGTGAGGTGTTGTACTTGTTCTCTTATAATATCTCTGCCATTAGCATTAGCGGTGTCGTACTTGTTCCAGGGCTCAGATTCTCATCTCTGAAAATCAGATTGTCTTTCTTGTCTATCAGGATAGAAACAACTTTTTCCGCCATCCTATTTCTACTTCTCCTTTTACTTGTATCTATCTTCATTTCCTTTTCAACTAAGGGTAGTGACATTGGCACGAATTTAAGCCATCCAAGAGGCAACAGCGCATCAAGAAATTGGATGGTACTATCCCAACCGACATACTTGTGTAATCTATTTCACAACTTTGTTGAGTAAAGAAATCCAATATTATCATTAACTAAACCTTTCAAATAAAAAAAAAAGGAATGGAATTTTGCTTGCTTTGTAAACTAAAAATCTCATGTTCCTAATCTGCAAACAACCTTTCTTGCGACAAGAGGAAACTAAAAGCTGCGGTTAACTTTAATTTATGCCCCTGTTCTATTAGACAAGCATGTTGGAAAACTAATAATTTATGCCCCTGTTCTATTAGACAAGCATGTTGGAAAACTAATGAACCAAGTCGATTTACGAAAATAATATTATATATATACTCACAGGAGAGAGAACATCTATGCTATACAATTCAATACGCCAATAAAAGACCCTTGTATAAATAGTGGTGCAAATCTACTTCCCAAATCAATGTGGGACAATCTCATCTTTTTACCTTCATTTTTCCAACTCGATCAATGGGTCTACTTTGAGAATCAATATATCATTCACCCATTATCCGTTTTGAGTGTACAATATATCAATCTCTTCGTCTCACTACGAAGAACCCGAATCCACTTTGACAAGACCCAAATCAGAAGTGGACTCCACTGATAATTGTACCACAAAATATCCTATTAAAATGCAATTTTTCCAACAGATTAAAGCATTTGCTTATTGAAGTTTTGATTATCAACATAAAGGCAATTAACTAAATTTTTTGTAGAAGTCATAGTAGGAAAAATGTCCAATTTAGCATCTAAGGGTCTTTGGCTCAGTGGTAGAGCATTTCACAACAGATCAAGAGGTCATCGGTTCAAACTCGGTAGGGCCCTTATGTTGTTCCTAATATTAATTTTATTTATTTATTTTTTAATTTTAAATCATAAAAACACAGCACTCATTGGCCCAATGAATAAGTTCTACAAACGTTTAAAGATATTAATGTTTAAATTTAATTGCAAAAGCAATGGAATTGATGGCCCAATGGATAAGGCGCTGGTTTACGAAACCAGAGATACTGGGTTCGATTTCTAGTGAAGTTTTAATTTAAATATTTCTTGCACCACATCTTTGTAAGCTAAGAATTCATAAGAAATTCAAGTATTTATTTGTTTTAAAATTCAGAAGTAAGCATCAAATCAACATTACTACATTAAAACACTCACACACAATGTGACAAAAATGATGCTTTTTTTTCATTAGGAATGGGATGTTGATAAAAGTAAACTATTTTAATCTTAGACAACATCTGGAGTGGTTAATAAAGCAAATTATACTAATCTTAGACAAAATCTGGAGGTGGTTAACCTGTTTGTGGCTGGAATATGTATGTTCTGGGTGGGTAGTCAGCATTTTGCAGAGCAAGACTTTTTTGCAAATATATTATTGAACTTCTTAGCTATTGTCCAAATCAAAATGTCTGGTTTAGCATGCACCATAAACCAACTTTTGTAAAAATAGACCTCTTCTAAATCAACATCTCAGGCCATAGTAGTTCACGAATCATTATTTGAAAAATACCTTTCTAAATATCATCTCTTATGCTAACTTTTGCCTATTTTCTTGTAGATATCGCTACTGAAGCACACAACATTGTTGCAGAAAGCTGAGTGAAATTCGTCAGATTGAGCAGTGAGGTGTTGTACTTGTTCTCTTATAATATCTATGGTGAGCTGTCGTAGGCTCCCAAATTAAAACCTTTCAAACGTAGTAGCGGGAGTAAGGATCGATCCCACGAGGAGTAACTAGTTTAACTTTTGTGCTCAAGAAAATAATGGGGGGTTTGGAAAATAACGAGAATAAAGATTAAGTAAAAGATAATTTAAATAAACTTGAGATTAAATAAATCGAATAAAGCAATGAAACTAATATATTGAAAGCGCTTATAATAGAAAACCTTGGTTAGTAAAGATCCACCACCGGAATTTAACACTGATCACTGATTAGTAAAGTAATTAATATGCAATTGAATATTTGTCGTGAAATTATTTCATTTCCGTTTTCCCTTAGTTGTAGGTAACTAAAGCACACGCGGTTTAATTACCCCTAACTACTAAATAACCTTAGACAAGCGCTATAGATTTAATTTAATAGCAGCAATAGGAACTAGGAAAACCGACAAACTAAATAACACAAGCACAAGCGGTTGCATTAAATTTAGGAAAATATTCTTCCCGAGTCCAATTATCACTAAGCCGTCAATAATTAACCCAGTTGCTACTGAATATTAGAATAATTTGTAGCACAACATTATCTAATATAGCAAATAATTATATCAAGTAAATAACTAGTAGGCCTCCCTAGCAATTAAATGATACAACTATTCAAATAACTTAGAAGAATATTTAATACCCAAATGCATAAAAATTATATAATAAAAATAAATAAATAATCTTACAGAATAATCAATTCCGGGGCTTCAATTCACTAAACCAAGCTAAAGAAATTAGCAACAAATGGACATTGATAATAACTTTATAGAATAATCGAGAGGGGAAGAATGAACCAAAAGAATGAACATTTTACAATAGGAAACTTCTACTATTTATAACATTCTAAAAATAGGCTCAATGAACCTCAACCATCCAATTTCCCTATTTTTGTACCGTGTTCCGTATCTTCCGATCCGTCATGTCCAATGTTGTCCGTGAGCTGCGAAAGAAACAATCAAACTTAGAATTATGTTTGCATGCTATGAATTTAGGAGTGGACCAAACAACTAAAAGAACTAAATATATTATATATTATATTTTATTACTACTATATTTAGCTCAGTAGTTGTTAAACTCCAAAAAGAACTAATTATTAAATAATATTAACTAATGAATGCAAAATTATTATAAAAATGTACCTAAAATATGAGTGTAAAATATGCCTATCAATCTACTTCCCAAATCAATGTGGGACAACTAATAATTTATGCCCCTGTTCTATTAGACAAACATGTTGGAAAACTAATGAACCAAGTCGATTTACGAAAATAATATTATATATATACTCACAGGAGAGAGAACATCTATGCTATACAATTCAATACGCCAATAAAAGACCCTTGTATAAATAGTGGTGCAAATCTACTTCCCAAATCAATGTGGGACAAAATCTCATCTTTTTCCCTTCATTTTTCCAACTCGATCAATGGGGCTACTTTGAGAATCAATATATCATTCACCCATTATCCGTTTTGAGTGTACAATATATCAATCTCTTCGTCTCACTACGAAGAACCCGAATCCACTTTGACAAGACCCAAATTAGAAGTGGACTCCACTGATAATTGTACCACAAAATAGCCTATTAAAATGCTATTTTTCCAACAGATTAAAGCATTTTCTTATTGAAGTTTTGATTCTCAACATAAAGGCAATTAACTAAATTTTTTGTAGAAGTCATAGTTGGAAAAATGTCCAATTTAGCATCTAAGGGTCTTTGGCTCCGTGGTAGAGCATTTGACAGCAGATCAAGCGGTCACCGGTTCAAACTCGGTAGGGCCCTTATGTTGTTCCTAATATTAATTTTATTTATTTATTTTTTAATTTTAAATCATAAAAACACAGCACTCATTGGCCCAATGAATAAGTTCTACAAACGTTTAAAGATATTAATGTTTAAATTTAATTACAAAAGCATTTGACTTTGTGGCCCAATGGATAAGGCGCTGGTCGACGAAACCAGAGCTTCTGGGTTCGATCCCCAGTGGAGTCGTAATTTAAACATTTCTTTAACCATATCTTTTTACGCCAAGAATTCATAAAAAATTCAGGTATTTATTTGTTTTAAAATTCAGAAGTAAAGCATCAAATCAACATTACTACATTAAAATACTCACACACAATGTGACAAAAATGATGATTTTTTTTTTCTTTAGGAATGGGATGTTGATAAAAGCAAACTATTTTAATCTTAGACAAAATCTGGAGTGGTTAATAAAAGCAAATTATACTAATCTTAGACAAAATCTGGAGGTGGTTAACCTGTTTGTGGCTGGAATATGTAAGTTCTGGGTGGGTAGTCAGCATTTGGCAGAGCAAGACTTTTTTGCAAATATCTTATTGAACTTCTTAGCTATTGTCCAAATCCAAATGTCTGGTTTAGCATGCACCATAAACCAATTTTTCAGAAAATAGACCTCTTCTAAATCAGCATCTCAGGCCATAGTAGTTCACCCATCACTGTTTGAAAAATACCTTTCTAAATATCATCTCTTATGCTAACTTTTCCCCATTTTCTTGTAGATATCGCTACTAAAGCACACAACATTGGTGCAGAAAGCTAAGCGAAATTCGACAGATTGAGCAGTGAGGTGTTGTACTTGTTCTCTTATAATATCTCTGCCATTAGCATTAGCGGTGTTGTACTTTTTCCGCCATCCTATTTCTTCTTCTCCATTTACTTGTATCTATCTTCATTTCCTTTTCAACTAAGGGTAGTGACGTTGGCACGAATTTAAGCCATCCAAGAGGCAGCAGCGCATCAAGAAATTGGATGGTACTATCCCAACCGACATACTTGTGTAATCTATTTCACAACTTTGTTGAGTAAAGAAATCCAATATTATCATTAACTAAACCTTTCAAATAAAAAAAAGGAATGGAATTTTGCTTGCTTTGTAAACTAAAAATCTCATGTTCCTAATCTGCAAACAACATTTCTTGTGACAAGAGGAAACTAAAAGCTGCAGTTAACTTTATTTTATGCCCCTCTTCTATTAGACAAGCATGTTGGAAAATAATGAACCAAGTCGATTTACGAAAATAATATATATATATATATATATATATATATATATATATATATACTCACAGTAGAGAAAACATCTACGCTATACAATTCAATAAGCTAATAAAAGACACTTGTATAAATAGTGTTGCAAATCCACTTCCCAAATCAATGTGGGACAAAACTCATCTTTTTCCCTTCATATTTCCAACTCGATCAATGGGTATACTTTGAGAATCAATATATCATTCACCCATTATCCGTTTTTGAGTGTATAATATATCAATCTCTTCGTCTCACTACGAATTCACTTTGACAAGACCCAAATCCGAAGTGGACCCGACTAATAATTGTACCACAAAATAGCCACTTAAAATGCTATTTTTCCAACAGATTTAAGCATTTGCTTATTGAAGTTCTGATTATAAACATAAATGCTATTAACTAAATTTTTTGTAGAAGTCATAGTTGGAAAAGTGTCCAATTTAGCATCTAAGGGTTTTTAGCTCAGTGGTTGAGCATTTGACTGCAGATCAAGAGGTCACCGGTTCCAACCTTGTAGGGCCCTTATGTTTTTCTTAATATTAACATATATGTTTTTTAATTTTAAATCATAAAAACACAGCACTCCTTGGCCCAATGAATAAGTTCTACAAACGTTTAAAGATATTAATGTTTAATTTTAATTGCAAAAGCATGGGACTTCGTGGCCCAATGGATAAGGTGGTTGCCTATGAAACAAGAGATTTTGGGTTCGATCTCCAGCGGAGTAGTAAATTAAACACTTCTAGCACCACATCTCACTAATCCAAGAATTCATTGAAAATTCAAGTATTTATTTGTTTTAAAATTCAGAAGTAAAGCATCAAATCAACATTACTACATTAAAACACTCACAAACAATGTGACAAAAATGATGATTTTTTTTCTTTAAGAATGGGATGTTGATAAAAGCAATCTATATTAATCTTAGACAAAATCTGGAGTGGTTAACAAAAGCAAATTATACTAATCTTAGACAGAATCTGGAGTGGTTAACCTGTTTGTGGCTGGAAGATGTAATTCTGGGTGGGTAGTCAGCATTTGGCAGAGCAAGACTTTTTTGCAAATATCTTATTGAACTTCTTAGCTTTTGTCCAAATCCAAATGTCTGGTTTAGCCATGCACTATAAACCAGCTTTTCTGGAAATAGACCTCTTCTAAATCATCATCTCAGGCCATAGTTGTTCACCCATCATCATCTGAAAATACCTTTCTAAATATCATCTCTTATGCTAACTATTGCCCATTTTCTTGTAGAAATCGCTACTGAAGCACACAACATTGTTGCAGAAAGCTGAGTGAAATTCGTCAGATTGAGCAGTGAGGTGTTGTACTTGTTCTCTTATAATATCTTTGCCATTAGCATTAGCGGTGATGTACTTGTTCCCGGGCTCGGATTCTCATCTCTGAAAATCAGATTGTCTTTCTTGTCTATCAGGATAGATACAACGTAACTTTTTCCGCCATCCTATTTCTACTTCTCCTTTTACTTGTATCGATCTACATTTCCTTTTCAACTAAGGGTAGTGACATTGGCACGAATTTAAGCCATCCAAGAGGCAGCAGCGCATCAAGAAATTGAATGGTACTATCCCAACCGACATACTTGCGTAATCTATTTCACAACTTTGTTGAGTAAAGAAATCCAATATTATCATTAACTAAAAACTTCAAATAAAAAAGGAATGGAATTTTTCTTGTTTTGTAAACTAAAAATCTCATGTTCCTAATCTGCAATCATCATTTCTTGTGACAAGAGGAAACTAAAAGCTGCGGTTAACTTTAATTTATGCCCCTCTTCTATTACACAGGCATGTTGGAAAATAATGAACCAAGTCGATTTACCAAAATAATATAATATATATATATATATATACTCACACGAGAGAGAACATCTATGCTACACAATTCAATAAGCTTATAAAAGACCCTTGTATAAATAGTGGTGCAAATCTACTTCCCAAATCAATGTGGGACAAAATCTCATCTTTTTCCCTTCATTTTTCCAACTCGATCAATGGGTCTAATTTGAGAATCAATATATCATTCACCCATTATCCGTTTTGAGTGTACAATATATCAATCTCTTCGTCTCACTATAAAGAACCCGAATCCACTTTGACAAGACCCAAATCAAAAGTGGGCCCCACTGATAATTGTACCACAAAATAGACACTTAAAATGCTATTTTTCCAACAGATTAAAGCATTTGCTTATTGAAGTTCTGATTATCAACATAAATCCAATTAACTAAATTTTTTGTAGAAGTCATAGTTGTACTATTCAGAGTACACTAATGTGCCTTCCAGACCATTAACAAATATTAGATGGATGCACACGATTTGTTCTCACGCGTGTTCTCACCTAAGCAAGTGTTCTCATTGGAACCATACTATATATATATATATATATATATATATATATATATATATATATATATATATATATATATATATATATAACAGATTATGTGCGAAAGAAGCCTTAGATGAATATTGAGTTTAATCTAATCCATTGATTTAGTCCAAATCAAGGTTAGAATGAAGAAATTTTTTTTTAAAAAAAAAATACGATGACATTATGGAAGTTTTGTGTAAATAAGTTAATTTTTATTTTTTATTTTTGTCTTTCAAAACATTTTTTCATTCTTTCAAAACACATTGTTATGCCTTCCAGAGATCAATGTAATTCTGCCTTCTAGAGCACGTACAGTAATGTGTCTTCCAGTGCACATTGCTTTGGGTAAATAAGTTAACTTTTGTTTTGTCTTCCGGTGCATTTTTTTTCTTTCTTGTAGAGCACAATGTTGTGCCTTCGAAGTGCACATTGTTTTGCCAAATATTTTTCTTAAAGAACATTTGATTTTGAATATATCAATAATTACTACTTTTAGTTGAGTATTGTGATGTGTGTGTGTGTGTGTGTGCATGTGTGTATCAGTTCAAATGAGGACCCATCTTTAAGTGAGGACGTGAGGACTAATCTTGTTCGTTTGTTTTTTTATTTGATTTTCTAATATGGCATGGATTGATCTTTTTCGGTAAAGTGGGGGTAGTAGTGTCTTTTCCTACTTTCTTCATCTTTAGGCCGTCTTTCATCTTTAGGCCAAAACTAAACAGCATGGGTTCGGTGTTTGGGTCGAACCATGGTCGTAGGCCAACAGACCAGTAGTGTGAGATTTAAATTTGGCCGAACTAAGACAGCATGTTTGGGCCTTGCTTAGTTCGGCTAACGCTTGGCCGAACTGAGACAAAATCAACACGAGAGTTGCTGAGTTCAGCCAACGCTTGGCCAAACTGAGACAACATCTTTCGGCTGAAACTAAACAGCATGGGTTCAGCCTTGGGGCCGAAACATGGTAGTAGGCCAACAGACCAGTAGTGTGAGATTTAAATTCAACTGTTATGAAATTTAATTTCTATTAATTCCAATTTTTAAATTCGAATTTTGGTCCAACATAATGGCCTTGCTGTTTTAGTTGTGACAAGGCTAAGTTTAATGGCCTTGTTTAATGCTATTAAAGTCCTATATCCCTATATAAGAAGGTAGTGGGGGGTAGCAGGTTTTTTCAACAAGTGAAGCACAACAAGAACACACACACAGAAACTGTTTCTTTTCCCGAAAAACTCTGCTCCTACTCCATTCATGAAGCTGTGTTGTGCCCGTGCTCTAGTTCGCCGGGTTCGTTCGTTTGGGTGCTCAAATGTCGAATCGTAGTACGTTTTATCCTGGGAAGCCTAGGCCACAACACTCTTAGCACTTTTGGGAGGTGGCAAATAAGGTTTTAAGGAAAAAGGATACTTCGCCTAACTCGTGCTTACCTTCTTTCTTCCTCATCTTCTTTCGTGTTGGATTATGCTCTAAGCAAAAATCCTCTCTCTAAATTTGATATAGTCGTTGGATTGGAATTATAATATGAGGATTACAAGTTCCATTTTTTTTTGTTGATATATATTTATATATCTTTTTGGTAGATATATATGTATATCGAACAATATTTTATATACTTTCATGTGTATATATAAATATTATATTACGATATTAAATCGATTTGGTTCATTTTTCCGAACATTCTTAAAACCTTATATATATAATAATGAACAAGTCGATGGATTTCAAAAGTGTTGGATCCATGAATGTTGATTGTGGTTAACATTCAAATGGTTGGAACGACAACGATATTGCACATTCCGTGATGCCGGTTGACGGCAACAACATTGGAAATGTTGTTTCCTTGGGAGTTGCAAAATCATACGATGGTGCTCCGGAGAACTTTGGTTCACGAACCGGTAGACCAGTGGCTAATGGCACACAATTGGTACCTATTGTGTTGCCTAGTGAATCGACTAAAAGCCAAGAAGGATCCAATGGTGGTGTGATCACTACATGGTCTGAGGACTATTGTAGTGTGACCAACGTCTTCAACGATAATCAAAGGACAGGCAAACAAAAGTTTAGTCCTGAAGATGATTATGAGGAGGAAGTGCGCAGCCACTATGAAGCGAACCGTCATCTTGGTGAAAAGGTTGAAGACAACTTCGCTTGGGTTAAAGAATGTGGATGGTTGGATGATTGAGGTCACAACCAAGGTTTCTTTAACAAGTACCCCCGAAATGCGCTATGGACCACCATTCGAGGTGTGGACAATTGGAAAATGGAACAAGGTACACGGGTTGAAGGATTACTACGAGATAGGAATAAGGAAATTTGTTTCCAATGTAGTTTTCCTATTTATTTGTTTTGAATAAATGTCGTAGTATCCTTGTGATACATTTTTATTAATTGTTGAATAAAAATGAATCGTTCCATTTATGTGTTTGAACTTTGTATATTTTGAAATATTTATGTGTGATATTTTATTATATAAACGATTCAATATGGATACCTAGTGCATCAAGTAGCATTATTTGGAAAATGCTAAAATGGCTTAAAGGCCGGAACAAAATATAACAACAGTGCTACATATTGAAATCCCGTAAAGAACTTCAGTTCTGATTCATGTAGAACGATAAGGATTTCAAGAATCAATTTGTCAAAAATTGTAATAGCTATATAATCGTGAGCGTCACAACTCATGTGTTGAATATTTTAAACAATATTCTGAGTATGATTATATAAGCTTGGTTCAACTAGTTTGAAAATTTAGTTGATTTGTTTTTGTTAATTGTGTTATAATTAACTTGATCAAAAATTCAAAATTATACTAGTATGAAATTTAATTTGAGACAAATTGTGTTTTGCTAAATTGTGCTTTTGTAGCACTAACGGAAAGTACAATTTAATTTGGCACTTTGAAGTGCAAATTAGAGCACTGCAAATGTGCTATTAAGTACTTGTTAAAGTGCTTAATTAGGCACTAATGGCCATTTGGTGGCAGCACCGTTAGGTGTTGAAAACTTGAACATTTGGTGCTTCGGTAATAGCAATAAAGGTGCAATATTATGATTGGTTTTAGTGCTAATTTGCTTAGATTAAACCTTTCGTGTGGTGCTAATATAATTACGCGTTGATTAAGTTTAAATATAAGCTTTAATTTGTGACAATTTGGTGGTAACTACACGATTCATATAAATTACTTCGGCCTTGGTGTTATAGCTAGGCACGAGTTAATGTATTATGCATTGATTTGACCTCGGTGCTATAGCTAAGTCGCTTGTCACATCGATTCGGGTATTGGACTTTATGTGTTAACGTAAGAACATTTGGACCCAGTCCACATAATAATTTGTGATAACACAGATATCTACGTCGTCAATTTAATTATACCAAAAAAGAAAAAAAAGTTAGATTGCGAATAAAATAGACCAGTAGCAATACAGCCTTGAACTGGTCACTGAAGCTTAATAAACACAACTTTCATTAATCATTGTGAACTTTCGTTTTCTAATTAATGAGGAAAGTTCTGTTTACTCATGGAAAGAATAATTCTTGCGCTGCTGTTTCCACGACGTGACCTGGTACTGGTGTTCATTTCACGACTTAGTACGTACTTATGTTTTTGTTGTCTCAGTCTTATTTTCAGACCGGCCTATATATAACTCCAGCTTTTCTTATGCTCGCCACACAACCATCGATCACGACTTAGTACGTACTTACTTGAATCTATCTTCATTTCCTTTT